AGTCAAGGGCTAATAAACTTGTGGCCCTCGGAAAATAAAATTACATATTAAACCTAAACAATTCTATGAATACAAATTTGGAATATACAATATAATAACTGTTAAAAACATAATTCTTCCGCTTCTGCCTCCGACTCCCGACTGATTACGACTCCGACTCCAACTCCGTCGCTAGTGAAAACCAGCCTTTAGAGATTTTTACAAAGCACCAAAAGCAGAACCCGATTACTGTAATTCTGTCGGAAGTTTTCAAACTAAATACTCGAAACTACTTCGTGTATGCGGTCTAACTCAGCGATTAAGTCTGTACTGCGATCGTTTTAGCTTGCAATAGATATAGGTATGTCTTTTCACTTATGCGGTTGGATTGTCCTGCAAGTTAAACTTTTCAAATTTCTTTACTATCCATGTTTACAGCAAGGATATTTTTTTTGACAAAAACGCATTTGCATCGTCTCTTGATGGCGAAAAAGAAGTAAAAAGCTTTTGCAGAAAAATATACAGAAGGAAAGCATTGCAATAATTGAGACTCTTTACCTGCAAATCTTCTCTTTGTCCTGAATATATTCTATCACCAATTATTTGCAGCACACCTGGATTTCAACTGTCTAATGCAGTCTTCGTTACGGTAAGTACGCTGTTAAAACTACACGCGTCATCCTGCTTTTAAAAGTATCAAATTTAACTTTCGCGCGCGCATGTTCACTCTGGCGCACGCGCTTAGACAAGTAGTCAAAAGTAGGATGGCGCGTGAAGTTGTAACAGAGCATTGACACTGATGATAAAGGCTTGAAATGATAAATTGTGTGCCGGGAACGAAGACGTAAGTGTAACGTTGATATTTCTAAATCAGTCTCTTTTCCACGGTGTCACGCCATGCAATTCTTCGGTAACACATCTACCACGCTGCCTAACCAGATCGCAGTTTTATACCGCTACATTTGAATTTTTTGCTCTCCGTTTTTTTAGAAAAAAGATACAGAGTTGGGAAAAATGGTCAAAAAAGAAGAAGCGAAAGTTTCTGTCAAATTTAGGGCAATTTTGTATTGCAAAGCTGAGATTCATCACTTGACAGTGGCCAGTTAAGGACGCTGCCTACTAAACATGCTAAAGAAAAAGGTTTCTGCGCCAGATTAGAACCATGGGAAAAGAGTAGATCTTTGCAAGGGCTACTGGAATTCACAAAGAAAAATGGGGGTAGCAGCGCATTTTTTGAGATTTTTGGTCTTGAAATAACCTTTTTTTGAAAAAAGAAGGAAAGGATATTTCTTCACAGATTTCCTTAGAATTCGCATACAGAAAAGCAAACACATTTATAAAGATCTGAAGACTACACCTTAAATGGTAACATAAAACTTTTTAATAACAAAATCGTTGCAATAAAACTTTTAGCGTCGCTAACAGCCTTCCCTTTGTTTAGCTAAAATACAGTCTAAATAGCTTTTCATCAACACTAGAAACTAATCACGTGTTGAATAGACTTGCCACTTTCATTTGATAACTTAAAATGTAGGGGAAACCATGCGTTTTTTAAATGTAACGGGCATGGTAAAAGTTTTCAAAGTTTGAAAACTTTTACGGTGCCCGTTACTTTTCTTCCTGTCACCTCCCCAATATAACATTTG